CCTACCACAGGCACCTCCAGCATACGCCTGTCGCCCTCTTCCCACAGAGGGCTTACAATAATCACAAGGGATGACAATTTATGGTAGCCCTCAGCCCAGAGTTACCTTCGCTGCAGGATAGACCTCATCCTTCATTACAGATTTGCCACCAATAATTTCCCCAGATAAGTGAACCTGCTTCAGTCCCTCCCCATAACCTCTGCATGGTTGTTGGTGGGACAACAGAGCAGGCAAGGGGAGATGCCATCACCCGCCCCTTGCAAAGGCAGGGTCCCCATCCCTCTTACACACCCATCACAGGTGAACATCGACCACTTCACCAAGGCTGTGACCATGAAGAACCTGGTGGAGCCATCACCAAGCAGCTTTGACATGGCCCAGAAGAGGATCTTTGCCCTGATGGAGAAAGACTCCCTACCCAGATTTGTGCGGTCGGAGTTTTATCAGGAGTTAATCAAGTAGCAATGCGGCAGGGCTGTGCGAGGCATTCCCCGCGGGCGATCCCACTGCTTCTGTCTAAACACCTGCCCCTTCTCCTGCAGCCGCTTTGCTTTCTTGATACCACCCTAAAAAAGCACCCAGGGGTGTTGCTAAACATCTCCCCCTGTGCTTTGGACTGCCAGATGGCCCGATGTCTCCTCTCTTACAGTCTCTTTCCTCTCCCACAAAAGACCAATTAGCAGAAACCGCTGGTGATCCTCCTTGGGTTTGGTACCCAGAAGGGTGGTGGAGCAGCCCCAGCCCCGCAGCGACTGGGAGCCACTCGTGCAGCCGGCACGTCGCTGGCACTGTGGGGCTCGGCTTTAGAGTCCCTGAGGTGCCAGCTCTGCCTTCTTAGGGCTTCTTAGGGCATTACACTATTTCTCCCAGTTTTGCCCATATCGCTGGTTTGCCCCAGGCTCTCTCCCTCCTCCCGGCTTCCCAGGGCATTGCTGAGGCTGCGCAGGGTACCCTACGGGTGCTCCCCTTCCCGGGCATGTCCAGCATGCCTGCAGCCCCAGGGTGCAGGGTGGGGCATGTCCACCGCGGGATGTCATCACCTTGTCTTCAGACAGCAGCC